AACTTTAACAATTATATATAATTTTATAATCGCCAAATTAAAATGTCAAAAGTCTGTTATTAAAGTTTAATATAAATATATTGAGTAATATGTATATTACACAATGTTTTATAACATTTAGTCATGACTAGTCAGAAGACAGGCTGCATCAGTTTCTATCTCAATTCCCGAAACAAATGACTCAATATTTATATAACTACAAGTCATTCATTTCTTAACTGTTTGAATTTAATTATGTTCTAAACTTTTAAGATATTACAAATTAAAATAAAGAAAAATAGCACGAATTCAAGATGTACTTTGATATTGGTAAACAACAAATCAAAGTTTATCAACAATACAAATGTTAAATTCCAGTTTGATAGATTAAAACTTTAAATAAAATAATGGATAATCTGTATTTAAATTTAAACAAATAACTAAAATGTCTACTTTAATAATTAAAAAAATGTTCTCTAAACTTAAAATCTTGTTCAGTTCACAAACTAACAAAATTTTATATTTAAATTCAGAAAAACAACAATTATTATATTGAAAGTTCAAATTAAAAATATAATTTTAATGACAAATTCTTGTCATTAAAGCTCCTCAATTGCAAAATTAATAAAGCATGAAAAAGCTAAAACTGGATGACTAGACTAGATGGAAATAATTTTTAATTAAAAGTTATTTCCATCCTAGTCTAGTCAAACATTTCAGCCTTTATAGTAAACTAGAACTAGTTTTAGTTTATTTTAAATTTTGCACATTTGACTTGCTCCATACATTTCAATATATAATTGGTTTATTCAACTTTAAACCCAATGACATCTAATTAAATCAGTCAAAAAATTACCTTACTGTAATATTCACTGCCAGATACATAAGGTTGTTTCTCCACATTATACTTAGTAAGTTTATAAAGAAATTAACAAAAACTTCTGAAAAAAGTTAAATCCAAAACTCCATATGTTAGCCAAACATTATGAGAAAATTAATAAAAACACAACACAATCTTGAAAGGATGATAAGGCATATTTTTATAAAACTCATTCAAACAATCTTTTCCATCTTTAAAATTTAATGCATTTTTTTCTGAGAAAATAACTTATAAATAATATATATTCAGTGGCAGATTAAGACCTTCTGGGCCCCCTCTACATGATTTTACATTTATTATATTCACACAATGCTTAGATGAGAAAACAAAAACACATACTCTGTTTTTGAACTTCAAAGTGGTCTATTCATTATCTTATCTAGGAAGTCCATTCTTCTTGAGGACTAAACTGTTATAACGTCCAACCTAAATTTTGTAAAAAATTTTATAACATTTATGCATGAGGCTTAATCAAATGAGTTAGCATCACATGATTTTAGACTTGTTTATAAGCAAGATCTTATTTGAGGATTTGGCATCCTTTAACATTGAAAACAATGGTTACAATTTCTGACTATAACTATCATGTCTTTTAGCTCAATATATAACTGGTTCAGGTCCTCTGGTGGCAGTTTTGGGTAATCATAAACTTCATTTGCATAAAAGAGTACATGATAACAACCCAGGATATCTTCAATTAGAATTTAATTATGACTATTTACAAAAATTATAAAATTTTCGAGTATCTTTCATCGTTTTCACACTACCACAGAAGTTTCAAATAAAAGGTCAGTGTTTTGATCAGTATTTCGGCCACATTATGAGAAACAAAAAATATCATCTCATACAAATAATAATTCAAGGTAAAGTCAAAGGTAAACATGGCCCAAGCAGAAGAAAAACATTCTGGCTCAAAAATTTACAACATTGGTTTGGGTTTAGTACCAGATCACTATTCAAAGCAGCTGACAACAAAGTCAAAATCATGCTACTGGTTGCCAACGTTCTTGGAGGACAGGACACAATGAAGAAGAATTTTTGATCAATTTTAACTTTGAAGATTTTTTTCATAATTTATCATTTGTTTTAATGAAGTTTATTCAAGCCAATATACTGTTACTTCCGTGATAGTGTGAAAAGGATGGAAGATAGATGTGAAAATTTTATATTTGTAAATAGTCATAATTCAATTCAAATTGAAGATATCCTCAGTTGTTATCATGTAAGCTTTTATGTAAATTTAAACTAACGTAGGTACAAGAACAGCATGCACATAGAGATAAATTAATATAAAATAACAAATAAATTAGATAAAATAATAAGATAAATTTATATGCCATTAGTAAATTTAGAGTTATGGCAAGTTTTTATACAAGTCAGGATAATTAGAAATATTAGATTGTCTAAGTATGCAGCAACAGTAGAAAGGATAGAAATATTCAAACAAAAGTTAAAGGGATTGTGCTAATCACAAAAGGTGGAAAAACTTTCCTTATGGCATGGAATTTCTTACTAATACTAAGATGACAATGTAGATTGCAACACAGAGATGTTATTACAGTTTAATGTTAATGATATGTTTAAGAGTTAACTGTTTGAAAATGTTTGTTTTTAAGTTTGATTTATTTTGTAACATTTGAATGATATCATTCTAAAAAGTTGTATCCTGAAGAGGATCTATAGACTAGATAAAAAGCATTACAGTACATTTTTATTTTCTACACTCTCATCTAAGCAGTGGATGAATATAAGTAGCCAAAGTATCAAAGGCAATCATATAAACATAATAATGTAGCTATAGAATTAATTATAAACTATAATATACAATTGTAATGGTAAGACTGCTTTATTATTTTTCCAATTTCAGAGCTCAGAGTCCCATGTCCCCAGGCAAGCCAGCCATGTGCCTAGTGAGAAATTCAACACCGAACATATTCAACTGTTTTTTGATCATTTTGATTTGTTGTTTACAGTAATGCAACACCTGGTGATCTGACAGAGGAGGGATGCTTCCTGGGAGAACTTTCTGTGGGAAACCAGCCCCTATTTAGTTGTAAATGACACTGTTGGGATCTCAACAGATCTGTATAGCATGCCCAAAGGAGAAAAAAAATTCAAAGGACTCTTATCTCTAAATATGATCCTTGGCTAGATAGTCTCCCAAAATCAGCCTATTTCCAGGGTGCAATCAGGAATCATATTGGGCACTCTACTAAGACTACTAAGACTCTACTGTGCATTTAACTATATAGCTTTGAGCAGCCCACTTGACTGTTTGTGAAGTACTAGATGTTATATAATTTTAGAGGTGGAGGGCTCGCCCCACACAGATGTCAAGGTGCAAGCAGTAGCAAGCACCAAAGTGCACGACCACACATACACTGCCACAGGGCACAGAGAACAGGCAGTAGTACTGGTTCAAGGTAACAAGTGTTTCTGGTCAGAAGTTAATGAATTTATTATTTATGTTAAAGCCCTGGTCACTGCACCTAAAACAACTTGCTTGCAAACACGACGGCAACTTGAACTGTAGCCAGTGGAGTTTCATATTTGGAGCAAATATCTAGCCAAAGGTTTCATGTCGGACTTTTCTTTACAGTTAAAAACCATGCCGGGCCATCTGATAAACACACGACAGGCACAGTGGAGCATGCAGCGTGACTCCCCATAGTGCCCGGAAGTAGGCCAATTTCAGACAGGCTACATCTCACCAAGGGTTGCACATAGAGGTACAGCTCCTTTGACTTTTTTGCTCCCACGGGCTTGCTCTACAACCCCATTATGTTCCCAATAATGGCATTCACACCTGTAATCTTACCTGGAAAACTTCACTGCAACCAACCATCAGCATCTGGCAGTGCCATCCACTCGGCCACCGGCAGGCATGGTCAAAAGGAAGCAGAGACAATACTCACTCAAAAGACTCAACATAAAAAATAATTATATATAAATGTATGGATATTTATAGTTTTCCAATATTTAAAAAAATTGTGAAACCAATTCCACATGTTCTAATTTAGAATGTGAATCTTGTGTAAGACCGAAAACATTTATTTACAGGGCCATACGTAGAACTGTCAAAAATTAAATTTAAAAATCCTCAAACTTTTTAATAGAATTATTCGACAAATTTACCGATTTCATTCCAACTATGGCATAAAATCGGGATAGAATTTATAAAATTAGGAGAAAAACAGGGCAGAATTTATAAAATCAGAGAGGAAAAAGGAAAAGAATTTATAAAATTAGAGGGGAAAAAAGGGAAGAATTTCTATTTAAATCTCCCGACTTACCCATATACACAAGGGCTCTTGTATCATGAAGTAAACGACATCGATCAATCTCTTGACCAAAGGATGATTTAGAACCAAATCTTCGATATTTAATATAATATTTTCGATCGATTCGTCCAATTTTGTTCTATTTAATAACTTCGAATCTTCGTCTGTCGTCACGTTTAATTTCCAATTCGGTTGCGACGTTACTTGAACGGCGTAATATACGGAACAAGATAATAATAAAACACTTATGGCTATGTAAGTTTGTAAACTGGGAAGGGGTAACCTATCTAAAAACACGGCGGGCATCTTCTTTGCTGGAAAACTTCGCTTTCGGGTATCAAAAATGGAATCGGACGACAAACATATCCTAAACCTAACCCACCGACCCACATCAACACCGACGGATCCTTAACTTCTTGTGACGTCATGTATTAATCCGCCCAATAAAAAAAATTAAGACAAAATTCGACCGTTTGAATCGAACTAATTAGTAAATAAACGGTAAATTAATTAAAAACGATACGTTGGATTTATTATTTTGCGTATTGTAAAATACTCGTTCTTCGCATTATTTATATTTGTTGTCGGTTAGGGTAAAGTTGACTAATTTTCCCTTCCGTCTTGAAAATTTAGGGAAATATTTTCTGACGTACTTGACTTTCTACTACTGAAATTTCGGTGATGTTTCCGGGAGTGTTGAAATTTGATAATATAAATGTAGAATAATAAACATGAAAGTATGACGAATTAACGAAATTTTTACATACTTAATATTATAAAACTATTTACAACCGTAATTTTTAATTTGTAAAGTTACGTTTAATATTGTTTAAAATTAATCTTAGGGATAATCTACTGAAATTTTTATCAGCGTGGTAAATTCGGTTGTCGTTAATTTAAGGCGATTAGTTTAAAGTGATTGTAAGAAGGCGTAATGAGTTTCTATACTTCTGGCGACGAGAATTACTTTTCCATCGATGATATTTTGGCAACGAACGAAAGGATTCCTTGCCGATTGGAATTACCATTATATAAACTTGGTTTGTATGTTGCTGGTGGTAGAAGTAACTCTAGGTCATTGATTTTTGTGAATGTAGATATGTATACATATCTACATTCACACAATGTGTGTATGTTTACAGGGTGCCTCCCTCAAAGATCCCTAGTTTTAAACTCTTGTAAAATCTATTCGTTCAGATATGTGAATAAAGCGTGCATGAGAATGTTGGTCGATACTCCGAGTTTCCTGTGCAAACATTCAGAAGGGCTACTGTTGTCCCACGGGGCCCCAGCAACCTGTGCTTCGCGGTGCAGGTCGCTGGCATCTTGTTTTCCAGTCTGCTAGATGTCGTCTCTTCGAAAACTTTTCTTTCAGGGCACATCGAGGATCACATATGATGCAAATGTGTTGAATGTGCGAACCTTGTGTATGAGAATTGCAGATAATGTTTAGGGTGTGATTCTTAATTCATTGGCTTGGGGCACAGACCGAAATCATGAGTGGACCGGATGTACATTGGGAGAGTATGTGGAAACATACCAATTTAATGTAGTAACTAACTTTCTTGGATGCACTTTCTACCGTTGTCTACAGTACTGTACTTATGTTTCTTTTTCCAAAATTGATTTACAGAATTAGGGAATTTGAGGGAACACCCTCTATATATGACATACCTTAACTTTCTGGCAACAAACTTTTTCTAAGAAACATTTTTAATGCCCATCGTCAAGTGGTCTCAAAATAGAATGTCACATTAGGAATGAGAAAGACAGAGTGCACAGTCTACAAATTCAAATTTAAAGATCTTAATTATTCCTAAAGCTCAAACATTATATAGGATGTTATACAAGTTTTAAATTGACAGTTATAGGGAACAAAAATAAAAAGAAACACATTAAAATTGATACAAATTTAAACTTAGTAGCACTAATAAGTGTGGATTGGCCTGACATTATCACATCATTATATNACATTTTCCCCAAAAGGAGTTAGATAGATGATTGGCACAACTCCATTGCCAACAGGAATAGTACAATGTACAGGGGAAAGATACTACTAAAAAAACTCTTGGCAAATGATATCTTTATATATTATAATTATTTAATTTATCAAAATATTTAAGTAAAAGAAGTAATTGATCTTAATATGAAATAACAAACCAACACTTCTCAAATTGTGTTCCCAGATGAATTCTTTTTTTCCAATCCTTCCAAACCATAGATTGTGAAATTAAATAATCATAAAATGAAGAGTATGGAATTCAAAAGCAAGCTCTTTTCTATTTTAATTTTTAGACTGAATTAGTAAGAAAAATACAACAACAAAATCTGATTCTAATCATTTTGAAAATAGATTTTTGTGCCATTTTTCAACTAATTTTCCTGGTCAATTTTGATGGCCAGTCCACTTCTAGCACTGTGTTTTTATTTAAAAAAAAAAAAAAACAAAAGCAATAAAATAACATGTTTTTAAATAGTTTTATTAATGTAATATATAAAATTTTATTGGGCTGCAATTTGAAAAAAAAAATGTAGACTATAAATTCCTGCTGTCGTCTGTTGCCTGTCCTTCATTAAATCTCAAGAATGAAGTTAGATAGATGAAAGTCGAGACCAAACATGGAAAGCTTGGAGGCAGGAGGTTCTGATTAACTAAATACGAACTTCTCGTGCAAACCAGAAGTCATATTATTTCAATTCAAACATTTTCCCCAAAAGGAGTTAGATAGATGATTGGCACAACTCCATTGCCAACAGGAATAGTACAATGTACAGGGGAAAGATACTACTAATTTGAGGTATAGAGCATATATTTTAAACAAAATAAATTAATTAAAAATATGATTAAAAATTTCAGCCCAGAATTGTGACAGACATCACAATAAGCAATTGCTTGCTATAATAATTATTATTATTGTATGTTAATAAACATTGTATACTTATAAATATAAACAAAGAAATGTTTATAGATTTTTTTAATCATCATTTTGTATATGGTCACAGTGACCCATCAGTAGCAGTAGCGTGAGAATTATTTGTCAGTAACAGTTACAGGTTAATACAGTATATATTTTATATAATTTTAAAATTTTCAAATAATATAAATACATATAATTTATATTGGAATTTTGACTTTAAAATGTCAAATTACCAGGTCTCTCTCTACTTGAATTTTTCAAGTCACTTAAAATTCATGTTAAAAAACATTAATTATACCTTCTCATTATACTAAATTTTTAAGTTTCTTGTTGACATATTCAAATGCTATTTTATATGACCTACTATAAATGTATTTGATACATATGCTGTTTTATGATTATGCAATTGGAAATTAAAGTGTTTATAGTTTATTTATTGGATTTTTCCTGAATCAATTCTTTCATCACATAAATATGAATGATTTCAAAATCAATAGCAATAAATAATAAATTCAAGCTAGTATGCAAGGTTCTTCCAATAAACAATAGGCTGTTAGTGACATTTGCAAAATCATTCTAAAACAATCAAATATTCTGTAACAGAGCTTGATAATCAATGAGAATCTAGCTATAAATCAATTTTCAGAAACTAGAGTACTAGGTCTAGGATTTAATCTATAAATTTTTTGAATGTTTAGATCAGATTTCTATCTTGCCACATAGAACTCGATGTTGCAAAATCATTCTAAGTAATAAAGGATGCTGAACAAGTGTATAATATACATTTTCAAATTAAAATTATCAGAATTATCCGTACAGCTAAATTTATCAAATTCACAATTATTTAGCATATTTTATATCATCTACCCTCATTTCACAATAAATGAAATATGATAATATGATGATATTCATCACTATGAATAATTCTTTCTTACAGTGTATTTACATAATAAATTACATTAAACTTTACAAAACTTGCACAGCAAAGTTATTAAAGGAAAATTTTATGCATCTTAACTTTCCTCAATCAATACATTTACTTTTTTTATTGTCTACAGAAACTTTTAAAAGTTTGCAACCTTCTTTTATCAACTAAAATGAAGAAATCATAAATTTTTATCAACTCAAAACACAGAATTTTGTTTGAAAGATATTACAATGATCAGATACAAGGTTCAAAAACCTTATATTAAAATACAAAAATTTGCACAGTTTCTCATATATGATTCGTATACATCTCAAAATTAAACTTTAACAATTATATATAATTTTATAATCGCCAAATTAAAATGTCAAAAGTCTGTTATTAAAGTTTAATATAAATATATTGAGTAATATGTATATTACACAATGTTTTATAACATTTAGTCATGACTAGTCAGAAGACAGGCTGCATCAGTTTCTATCTCAATTCCCGAAACAAATGACTCAATATTTATATAACTACAAGTCATTCATTTCTTAACTGTTTGAATTTAATTATGTTCTAAACTTTTAAGATATTACAAATTAAAATAAAGAAAAATAGCACGAATTCAAGATGTACTTTGATATTGGTAAACAACAAATCAAAGTTTATCAACAATACAAATGTTAAATTCCAGTTTGATAGATTAAAACTTTAAATAAAATAATGGATAATCTGTATTTAAATTTAAACAAATAACTAAAATGTCTACTTTAATAATTAAAAAAATGTTCTCTAAACTTAAAATCTTGTTCAGTTCACAAACTAACAAAATTTTATATTTAAATTCAGAAAAACAACAATTATTATATTGAANTCGCTTATGAATTTAAACAAGTGCAAAACACGGAACAGGTTAACCAACGAGAATTTGGAAAATCTGCTGGTTGTTTCAACATCTGCCATTACGCTAGACATCAAGAAGATTGCCGCCAGCATCCAATCTCAGCCATCGCATTAATCACTTGGAGGTCCGGCCCCCAGTCAGTAAACTTAATCCTAATTTGGCCCTTCTTCAGAAAAGGTTGTGCATCCCTGTTATAATGATGCCAAGTTTTATGAACTTTCGAAATAAATAAACATTTATTTATAAATAATATAATGTATATGAAAATAAGACTCCATTAATCCAAAATACAATTGAAAAAAATTTGTGTTTTTCTTTATAGAGGAAAATTCAGAATCTCTTATTTTCAACATGCTCTTAGAAAATTACTTCTCTGGCTTGTAACTTACAGTTTAGCCCAAACTGATAAAAGTTGGACTGCCCCATTTGTAGACTTCCAAAGTTGGAGCCCAAAAATGTCACATAGTAACAGTGGGTTACATTGCAAACATTTTATATAGATGAAAGAATTTGAAACTACTTGAATTTTTTTTTTTTTTTTTTAATTTCTTTGGCTGCAATTTGAAAAAATTGTAGACCTATAAATTCCCACTGTTGTCTATCTGTCTGTCCTCTCTTAATCTCAAGAATGGTATTAGATAAATGAAAGTCAAGACCAGATATGGAAACCTTAGGGGCTGGAGACCACAATTAACAATATAAGAACTTCCAATGAAAACTGGAAGTTATGTTATTTCAATTCAAAAATTTTCTCTCAAATGGAGTTAGATAGATGACCAGCATGACTTTGTTGTTAACAGGAAAGTGTGATGGACAGGGAAACTACTAAAATTAATTGCTTTGTGACAAAATTTGCAGCTTGGTATTGTGACGATGTCACAATAAGTAATTGCTTATTAAAGTATTTTTTTCTATTGTAAATAATTTAATGTTTACTGATTATTTGTGCCCATATCAAATTTAACTAATCTAAACTCTTAGTTCATTATAAATAATGAGCTTAGTATTTATGATGTTAAAGCAAATTTTATTAGTTATAATACAGGGTCTTCCAAAAAGAATGTTACCATTTTAAATTATTGTAATTATGTTAATTATTATCCGAGAACATCATAATGCATTAAAATATTAACTGCAATTCTATGGCTCCTGCAGATTACTCATGCTGCACAACAACAAGTGAATCCAACTTTGCAAACTGCAGGACATAAAATGCCTTCTCTGTTGTGGAGTAGCTATTTTCATTTATGGTATTTCCTAGAGGCAGTAGACAACAGGACATTTGAATGCAGACAGGAGACAAAACTCAGGCGATTACTCTACCAATCAGTGTACATCACATACGTTAATGATAATAATTAACATCATTACAGTAATTTAAAATGTCCAAAATACTTAGTAAGCAGGCTTTTATTAATTGCTTTAAGTGTTAAATATGCAGCTATAATAAAAAAAATTAAATGTCATTATGTCATTCTGTATAAATATCATATGCATTTGTATCTTACCTGTTTTGTGTATTTCCAATCTTTGTGCCAGCTTGCTTTTTTTTTTTTTTGTGGATCGTATTTCATATAATGGTAGTTTCAATGCCAATGATTGGAATCAGCTAATATTTTTTTTCCAGAAGAAATTCAATGGTAACTGTTTTAAAAATTATTGGCTAAAGTGTTTTTATATTTGGAAAACTAAAAAAGAAGTGTGGTATATCAAAATGAGCAATATAATGAGGTGTCATGTAATGATGGGCTACTGTACTTTTAAAAAAATTTGCAGTGCAATATAGCTAATTACTAATAGCAGTAACATTTCTTCTTGAAAAATACAAAGTTGTATATAAGATAAATTTAAAATTTAATATTTTTATTGTTTTACATTTGTTCCTAAGTTAAATATGAAATTTTTATGCTACTTTCTGAATTTAATATAATAGTACAGATATCATATATACAGGGTCTTCCAAAAAGAATGCTACCTTTTAAAATTACAGTAATTACCCAAGAAGTATGCGTCATACACCAATCAATAGAGTAACTGTCTGAGTTTATCTATCATCTGCATTCCAATGTCTTGTTTGCTACCTCTAGGAAATGCCATAAATGAAAATGGTAACTCCACAACAGAAAAGGTATTTTGTGTTCTGCAGTTTGCAAAGTTGGAATTGCTTATCATCATGCAACATGAGTGTCACAGACAATTTCAAAGTGATCTACCATGTGAGATAGAGATTTTTTGGTGGTTTTGATAGTTCCATTATCCCTGAACTGGATAAAGGATGCATTTGCTAGGGAAGTAGTTCAGGTCAACCCAGAATATCAGAGGAAAATGAGAATAAAATTGAAAGCTGATGTCACCAAATAATGTTTGTCTTACATGGTAGATCAGTTTGAGTTGTTGTGAAACTCATATTGCATGATCATGAGTGATTCCAACTTTGCAAACTGCAGAACACAAAATGTCTTCTCTGTTGCAAAGTTGCCATTTTTGTTTAAGGTACTTTCTAAAGACAATAAATAAGATGCTTGAATGCAGACAGGAGAGGAAACTTGGACGGTTACTCTATCGATTGGTGTACATTGCATACTTCTCAGATAATAATTTAACATAATTACTGTAATTTAAAATGGTAGCATTCTTTTTTGGAAGACACTGTATTATTACAGATATGTGCCACTTAAAAACAGGAATGTCTTCCAAGAAATACATTGTTAAACAATCATCATAGTGTATTTAGATAAACATTATGTGATATAGTCTACTACTTATATGGGTCATATGTAGCACAATTATAAGTGTTTATGTATTTAAACATATTGAAACATAGACAAGATACATACAGTTATGAATTTTTCAGCTCAAATATAATTTTATGGAACTTCTGTCACATGGTCCATTAAGCAGCACATATCTATACCCATGTAAACTAATGTACTGTTCATGTGTACCAAAGTGTACAGATTAGCAGTGTTATTATAAAGTGAAAGGATACAATTTTATTTTCCATTTATTCTAAATAGTAATGTCAGATTTATAAGTGTATAGGATCTGCTCATTGTAATCATAGGTACTGTTATTTGAAAATTAGCATGTCTCAAAACATATAAAACTTATAAAAATTCATTTATTTTAATCAAAGTTTGGGTATAGTTATCATTGTCTTTCAGATAAATGGGTATTTTTAAGCCCTCTTTGAACTATTGGCTTTTACCAATGTTTTATATGTTAAACTTTAATAGTTCTTTCGTATTCACTACAATATAAACTATTATAGTAGTTTAAACTGTTAGCATTTACTACTTCAAGTATATGCCAAATGAATTGTTATTAAGAAATCTTCAACTTTTAAATTTAATTATTTAATACTGAAAAATTACATATGCAGAACTGGAACAGGACATTCAGAGTATATCCATACCTTTTCTACAGTTCCAGCAAAAAAATTAGGTTTAATACCATACATTAGAAATGTTTTTAGCCATTTTATACTGGCCTTCACTGGGTATTAGATGGAAAATGAACAAATATTTAGAACAAACAAAATGTTTTAGAATGCAAAATTGTACTGTAGAAAAGATTGTATGGCCAGATAGCTGAGCAGTTAAGGTGACATCTTAAAAAATTTCAGGAATTTTTTAGGGGGTGATCTGTTCAGATACATTGAGCCCCATTCCTCACCTCCACCCACTCAGCTGTGGATCTGGCCAAATCTATAATGGGCTTGCTAAAAAGACCCTGTTAGTGGCCAAGAGGTGGGAAGAGTTAAAAAGAAAATGTAGTTGTCTTCTGCACTTAATTATTTAACTTTAAGTTTGGTTATATATTTTTGTCAGAAATCAGTTCTTATAAGTAGAAATTGATAATTCTGTTTTTCTATTAATTTCTGACAGTATTGGAATTTTTCCTTTAGAAGAGATACTTAAAATTTTACATCTAACTATGGAAAATATTAACATAACGAGAAATGGAATTGATAAAATTTTAATAGACTTATTATAATGTAAAATTTGTATTCTTCAGGATTGGCATTGTTTAAATTGTTATAAGAATTTAAATCTTCGTGCCTGTTTTAAGAATTTCTTTTAATTTTTAGGATTTCTCGATTCGTCTTCTGAGAGCAATCACCTGCTTGCTGGACACAAGATCGACCTTCCATTTTGGCTGGCTGAATCCTTACACAACCGTCACATAATCTCTATCGATCTTCCCAAAGTGTATAGAGAAGCCTATCGTGAGATTTTACTTGCTGATGCAAATGCTGTAGATTTACATAAAATGGGACCATATTTCTATCTGTTTGGTCAACATCTGATGTCGTTTCCACACAGAGATAAAGTGGAAATTTCTAAAATATTATCAAAGGTGAGTTTAATATATTTTAATTTCATCTCATATGAATTCTGATATATCAATTTTTTTATGTATAACTTCTATATAATGGTGTCTTGTACTTTGAATTTAATTCATTCCAGAAGGCCATATGAACTCTGAATCATTCAAAGTCCAAATCAATTTTTTTTTTCATTAGAAATAATGGAAAATCAAATTAATCCATGTTCAGACTCAAAACAATACCCATTTTGATAAACTTGAAATGGCAAACACACATAATTTAAGGTAAAAATAACAATTAAATACCATCCATCAACCAAAGCCAAATATTATCGGGCTAGAAACAACTATAATACTAATAATTTAATAGACAATTTGGCATTAGAGTTAAGTGTTAGGCATCATCTCTTGATAAATTTAATAATTATAAATTAATTAAATAATCAAGAGATGGCACCTAACTCTAATGCAAAATTGTCTATTAAATTATTAGTATTATAGCTATTTCTAGCCCGATAATATTCGGCTTTGGTTGGTGGATAGCTTTAATTGTATCGGNTTAAATAAGTGTGTCTGTGTCTGTATTCAGGAATTTCCTAACAATATGGCATGTACTCAATATAGTGGCCTTCTGTAGTGTGATGTATGTATTTCTATTCAGTTGTAATGTTCCCAGGCTTTTGTACAGTGTGTTTGGATCACACCTGTAGAGGAGAAAACAACAAGTATAATAAGTACCCTATCCATCCTCCACAGATACCTTATTTCCTGGGCAAGTTCTGTGTACTTGCTATTTTTTCAGTGCATGTGTTTTGTATATTGTAAGTGTTTGGAATGGATATGTTTATAATGTATGTGATTTTATTGTGTTTGTCAATGAGTGTGATGTCTGGTCTGTTGTGGTAAATTGTTTTATCTGTGATTATGGGTCTCACAGTGACTGTATTTGTTTGAAGTGAAGGTTAGCTATGTCAATCAGTCCACATCCGCCATCTTTACGAGGAAGGGTTAATCTTTCTGTGGCAGATTTAGGATGTTGTTTATGCTTAGTAAGTGTTGTTCTTGTTTTCATTTGGAGTTGCTCGAGATCTGTGTGAGTCCAATGTATAACTCCAAAAGAATAAGTGAGTACTGGGACAACACATATGTTTATTGCTTTAACTGTGTGTTTTACATTTAACTATGTTCTGAGAATAGCATTTAACCTACTTTGGTATTCTTTAATTAATCTTTGTTTTATATGTGTATGTTCTGTTAGTTTGGCCTGTTGGAATCCTAAATACTTGTAAAACTCTTCCTCTGTCAGGATATTTAATAATGTTTCCATTTCCAAGTGCAAAATCTTCTTTCTTCAGGTTTTCTTTTTCTATGTGAAATGTTTTGCATTTATCTAGGCCAGGGGTGTCCAGCCCATGGGCCACATGCAGCCCAAGGCAAGTTGCAATGCAGCCCAATAAACGTGTAAACAAAACCAACAAATGTTTTAATTAATTAATTTATTTATTTATTTCAACAGCATAAATTCAAAAAAAAGTTTCACAAAGCCATAAACCTTTATTCATATTTTATTTTTGAGTGGAAAGGAAATATTTTCAAATACTTGGAGATGTGTGAATAAGAAAATATTACTAAATAAAGCTGGAGTTGTGACGAATTTAGTTGATCG